TGGCTCTGACTGTATTTTACAGTCTCCTAATAGCAATTTATTGTCATTTGACTTCTTTGTTAAGAAGGTCTGAAGAGCTATTGTCGAACACTGTACTTAATTCACACTCCAATGGGCTGTTTTCTGGGTCTCCTATAGAAAACTTAAACTGAAAACACATCCTTCATATGAAAAACTGAATAATAGGTAAAATATAATGCACTCTCTGGTAAAAAGAAACCACGTCAGAACTAAAGACTTTTTACAATTTGAAACTCTCTCCCAACAGTTTGAAGCTACTGATTCTGATAACTCAAATAATTCATCAGTTGTACTACCAGACAAAATAGTAGCTTTGTTTAGAACCATTGTATCTAGCAAACTCATGGAGAGTATTCTGAGGACCCTTTGGGAATCTGTTTGTTCCTATCCATATCAATATCCTTGATTATCTGCATAGTACTAAAATGGCAGGTCATGTAGGTATTAACAAAACAGTTCATCTGGTGTCCCATTACTTTTGGTGGCCCTCTTTATGTACAGAGATCAAAGAATATGTATTAGCCTGTACCAAGCCTGTACCAAGTTTTTAGTGGATTATTACAGCCATTACCGATACCCTCTAAACCATGGACTTATCTTTCTACAAATTTTATGGTTGACTTTCCTCCCTCTCAGGGTCATTTATGATCGATAAATTCAGTGAAATGGCACATTTCGTACCTTTATCCAAGTTACTGTCTTCTGCTGACCTGGTTAAGATTATTGCACAAGAGATAACCCGGTTACATGGTATTCCCCAAGTTATATTCTCTGCTAGAGGACTGCAATTTGTCTGTAAAGCGGTTTAATGCTGAGATGGGGATCATTTTGTCTTTTTCGTCCACCTATACCAACAAACCAATAGTTCTGCTAACCGTGCCAATCAGTCTCTGGAACAATATCTACTGTGCTTTGCATCTGATCTGCAGGAAAACTGAGCAGATCTGCTTTCCTAGGCCAAATTTGCATGCAGCACTTCTGATCATGATGTGTCAGGCCACAGTCCCTTCTTTGTTAATTACGACTTTCATCCTGCTGTTCTCCTAGCATCCTTTGTTGATAAAGGGATGCCAGGATTGGACTCCCATTTTGCCACTTTGCAGATTATATGGGGACAGGTTCATGCCATCCTAAGTAACGTTCTTGTATTCCAGCTTCTGAACCCAAGATCCTGGTCCTGCTTCAAAAGTTCCATGCCAGGTTTCCTTCACGTTCATGTCCTGTCCACCCAGGAGGTGGTGCTGGAGGGGGGTAATGTCACAATACCTGTCCTCGTGTCGCTGTGCGATCCCGGAAGTGATGTCTCTGCTGTGTTCTGGTGCACACCCACTCATCCCTAGCTTCCTGGTGCCTCATTATGACACCATATATTACATGGAACCCTCCCATAGGTCTCCTTTTATAATGTCAGTCTTTGCTCAGCCACTCCAAGGACCGTTATACATACCTATCTTGCATATACCTAGGTATGTGTGTTAGGGTCAGGCCAATCCTGACAGGTGCATGTAGGGATTCTGCTTGTGGTATTGCTTGTGTAGGTTTTTATAAGGGGGAGACTGCTTGTTGGGTTGTGTTTCTGTTATTGATGTTGTTTGCAGTGTAGTGTGTGAAGAGATCTGTTAGTGGTGTAGTGTGTTTTTGTGGCAGGGGATAGGGGCTGTAGTATGTCCGGGCGATAGGAGCAATTATGGCTGCAGTGTGTGGGGGATGGAGGTTGTAGAATGTGAGGGTGATAGGGGCTGTAGTGTATGTGGGTATAGGGGTTGCAGTGTGTGTGGGCAGGTAGAGGCTGTAGTCTATGGGGAGATAAGAGCTGTAGTAATTGGGGGATATGAGCTATAGTGTATGGACTGTTGTAAATGTCGGGATAAGGGCTATATATAAAAAGACACCAACACATTTTTTATTAAAAAAACAGCTTCCCCTTCCTGGAGACTTGGGCCAAAGAGAGAGGAATCCTGGTACCTGGTGATCCGATGGGAGATGCTGCTAGTCTACATTCTCTGGATGTGCAGACAGAACCTCCCAGCCAAGGCTGGGGAAAGTATAGGGCATTCCATGGTAATGCTTTGATACAGTAGAAGGAGCTGAGGATAGAGGAAGTATAGACCAAGTTCTCCCTCCTCTCACTCAGCACTAGGGTGGCCTGGCTGTGAGGTAGGTCTTTGAAGGAGCCTTCTATCCTCTTCCTTAGTGCAGACCCTGCAGGGGGCAGGTGGGATGACCCCTTGATCTCCCCTGTTGGCCTCAGCCCATGGTTACTGTGGCCCACTAGGCAGGTACCCAGTTTGCCCAGTGCAGACCTGGCAAAATATATCAGTCAGGAATGTGGTACCAATGATAAGTGAAGAAACAGGGGCTAATATGGTCACTGTAGGGAGACTAACATTGGTATTGGTAGGGTTAATAATAAAAGGAATTAAAGTTGCTCTGTCACTGTTTGGGGTCTTGTCTGCCTAATTTGCCAAGATCCCTGACAGTGACTGCTCCACAGGCAGTGCAATGCCTTTTTCGTCCGTCTATCACCCACAAACATCTGAGAGCTGAGTTATACTTATCTGAACCTATCCTACGTGGCTGCCGCCATGGTCTCCCTACTGTTACAGTTCAGCTACTGGCGCTTTAGCTGTCAGGAGCCAAGATCATGCGCAAGGGTACAACACTGATCTATGGAGGATCCTACCAGACCCGAAAAAAATAGGCTCGGACTGGCCATCAGGCATAATGGGAAAATGCCCAGTGGGCCACGATGGCCATTGGCTGAGGCCGACAGTGAAGATCAGTGTATCTCCCCTGCCGGCCCATGCAGAGCCAGCGCTATCAGAGCGTCAACCCTGTTGTGTGCCTTCATTGGCCGGCGGGGAGACAAACTATCTCCCCACTGGCCCACAGGCACTGAGAAGCAGCCGGGGGAGGGAGAGAGGACCTGGGGGAGCTCTATCCTGCAGGTCCGCCAGGTTCCTCTCGCAAGGCCGGAGCGTTGCCGCGGTTACTATGGCAACACTCCAATCTCGCGAGAGTGATCTCTACCCCATGAACTGCAGGGTAGAGTTCACTCCTCACCAGTCCACCAGGGATTTCCTACCAGACAACCAGGGCTAGCAAAAAGGTCTCCCATACAAAGGTAAGAAGGGAGGGGGGACATAAATATAATAATAAAAAAATATATGTTTTTTATTTTTACCCCACAGCACCCCTCACACACACACTACACCCCAAACACCACACTGCACCCCTCACACACACTACACCCCAAACACCACACTGCACTCCTTACACACACACACTACACCCCAAACACCACAGAGTACCGCAAACACACACACTGCACAAATCATACACACAGGGCACCCTTCACACCCAGTGCATCCCTTACACACATTACATTCTAGACACACATGACATCCCTCATATGCAGACACACTACATCCTTTATACACACACCCTAGATCCTGTACATAACTATGGATCCTCTACATACACACTAGAATCCCTATACACAATCTGTATCCTCTACACACACACACTAAATCTCCTATGCACACAATAGATCCCTTATAGGCACACACTGCATCACCTACACACACTACATTAATGACATACACACTCTGGATCCCCTATGAACACACTAGATCCCCTGCAAGCAAACACACACTAATTTCCCTAAACACACACACACTTTACAACCCCTACACACACTACATCATCTATACACACATACACTACAGCCAGTGATGTATGTACCGCGAGGCTAACAAGGCATTTGCCTTGGGCGGCACTTTGCAGGGGGCGGCAAGAAAAGCCGCCCCTGAAAGCCCAGGCGGCTGCCTTGTTAGCCTTGTGTACTTGGGGGATCAAGAGCTATCTGGCTGGCCACCTTTGGGGCACCTCCGAGGCGAGTGGCAGCTTGCAATGCAGTTGGGCAGCGCTTAGTGATGCCAGGAGCCGGAATATGACGTCAGTCCAGCTCCCAGCATCACTAAGTGGTTTGCGAGGGAGCTGAGCAGGAAGATCAGAGCTCCCTCGCTGCCTACTCTGCACGTCCACCTCCTACTTGCACACACAAACAGTCCGAGTTTCATCCTGCCTAGGGCAGCACAAATCCAAAATGCACCACTGACTACAGCCCCTATGCACACACTCAAAACAGCAGTTCATTTTCTATTTTGAAACTATCTGCTCAGTATTTAATGAAGTTGCAACAGGGTATTTACAAAACATTGTATTTATATATATATGGATTTCCTAGCACTATAGCGTTGCTGTCCCTACTTGCAAGCAGATCCCTCAAACACAGTGCAAAGTAATATATATATATTTTTTTAAATGAAGGTTTGCTTAAAATTTTCCAGCACCAATGCTCTTTCACTCTGTTTAGCCCTTCTCCACCAGCAGAAGGGACCTAGCGTGCATGCGTATACACACTTTCCCATAATAAACTATTGAATCAATGCTTTCCTATGGGGCTTCTGTGTGACTGACAGTTTTACTCTGTCAGTAAGTGGGTTAAGAGGATGGAATCATAGCAATGGAATCATAGCAGTTTCTCAAAAAACTACAATGTTTTACATTGCAGGGTTAAGGGGACAGGATCACTGCACACAAGCCATTTAACTGAGATGAAGTGACCTGGGTGACTATAGTGCTCCTTTAAAAATGCTTGATCTTGCCATGGGATAATATATAAAATGCTCCCATACAATAACAAGATTTTACTTACTAAGGAGCTTTTTTTTTAAAGGAATAATTCTACGTCTGCCAGTAAATAGCACCTGGTGGAGGCTGTAATTGTAGCATTATTTCCCCATTTATATAGGTAATAAACAGATTAAAGTTATATTTGTGTAACGTTTGAAAACCAAAGAGGGAAAAAATAACATTTTCATAGAGACCATAAACTAGCCAGAATCAAAGATGGCGCTCCCTACAGGCCGTGACGACATCGGTGCAGGTTTACGTCCCACAATGCCTTTCGCGTCCTTTTGTTTACGTCGCATAGTGATGCGTTCCAAGCCTCGGCTTCCTGCAATGTCGGTCTGTCGCATGTGATACACGGTGTGTAGTGCAGTCCGGGTCTCTGGCTTCGGATATTTGTTATTAATATTATTACCGCTCTCTGTAGGTTTCTCTGCCTCTGAGAATCTGGGGTCACATTCTCCCAGTACACAGACAGGTTAACTGGCGCTGAGACACCGAGTGGCACTCCTCCAGGCGAGTCCCCGGCCTGCGGCCTGCTATATATTGCTGTAGCCGTTCATGGTATGTTATCAGACATGCCCTCTGTGTATCTATAGGCTGCACAATGTGTGACTGACAGTACTCTGTATCCCTGATTGCTGTAACCGGGGCTGTTCGTGGCAGCTCTTTACACTGTGCCATTGATCCATGTAACTGGATCTCAGTTCAGCAATAGTATGTGAATGCCTGTATAATCCATGTAATTATTACTATTATTATTATTGCCATTTTATAAAGCACCAACAGATTCCGTAGCGCTTTACAATATATGGTGACTAAATTATGGCAGAGTAAGAGCATAGTGTATTCTAGAGCTAGTTTTATAGTGTCCAGGTTTATAAGGTTCCTTTTTCGTTCTAATGTTTCATTGCACTGGTCATAGTACAGTGGTAGAATCAATGCAAGGATTTTTCTAGATTAATATTGCATTAGGTATGTCCTGTTGTTTTGACATAGGCATGCTGTGAAGTGTGTAGGGAGTAGATTAGGCTAAACCTTTTGCTTTTTTCAAAAATGTTCTATTCTCCGTTAGACATACACGTTTGTCAGTAATGTTTTTACAGACATTTTCATATGGCATAATGGTAGTGCATTGTATTCGCTTTCAGCCCTACTAGGAAAGTATAATGTTACTTGATTTAAAGGGCACTTGTCATTGCACCTATACATTATGCAATAACATGCATAACATTTCATCTTTACTTTGTGTTAGCAGATATGCAAGCAAACTCAATTTTTTGGCATAAAGTCTATGAAGAATTGATTGACAAGGGAGAGCAGAAGAGGATCCCCCCAGCAGTCCTCCTGCTCTCCAAGAATGGCAACCATTACACATGGGCTCTGGTTGCTATGGTAACTCCCTAGCTGACGCTGTTAGCGCTGGCCATACAGCCACTAAAGTGACATCCGGGTGATGTTGTCTAACTGACTCTGGACGTCCTCACGCTCTGCATGAGGACATCCAGTGTCGTCTAACACCCCTTAGGAAAGTATTGAGCAATGCTTTCCTACGGGGGTAGTCCTAATGTGAGCGCAACACATGCGCATTAGGTTCCCTTCGCTGGCTGAAATCGGCAGAGATAGATCCTGACCCAGCACCTTAGCATTGGAATCAGCGCCGGGGGGGGGAAGGCAACTTTATTTTTATAGCACTAACGTTTCCCTTTAACTAAACTTATTACATTTAAAAACAAGAATCTTGGCCGTCGCTTCATATGTCCACCAGCATTGTGTTATAGAGCTGTGCATATGTTCTTTCCTTCTCATACACACAAATGTGAAGCGTGTTACACACCAGAAGGATAACATAAATACAAAACATTTGTGGGACAAAGTTCTAAAACTGGAACAGTCACCATGGAAACTAGTGGAAGTTTTGCTGTTCCACTTTTAGAACATTGTCCCAGAATTGTTCTTCATACCAAATTATGAACCCTCAGCAATAGTCTATACACCATGGGTTCTCAAACTCTGGCCTCCCAGATGTTGCTGAACTACAACTCCCATGATTCTTTGAATTACATAGATAGCCAGAGAATCATGGGAGTTGTAGTTCAGCAACATCTCGGGGGGCCGGAGTTTGAGGACCCATGCTATACACCATTACTGCCAATGTTACCTGGCACTGAACACATAGTGATGCCCACAGCTGTCCTCGATGAACAATGGGCATTTTTTTCACCCACCACACACAATGCGATAGATTAAAAATGGATGCAAACTAATGCCCATGGATATATTTCTAAAAGTGTGTCCTTTTCAGCCATCAGCAAGTAGCTTTGCCTTTATCTTGCTTTTTAAATGCATTAATAATCTGTGCAGTACAATCCCTGTGCCATGTTCTATTGGGAGATAAGTCTATTGAAAAATTAAAATCATAAAATAGTAATTTAATTCAGAATACTCAACATTCTCAGAGATGTATTCTATAAACGGTACTGCACATTCTAGAACACAGCAGACGACTGAGAAAAACAGCTGTTTTCTAATTGTCAGTTTTAAGTACCTAAGTGATGTCAGGGTACCAAGTGATGTGATGCTGGTTGTCTCTGGGTTAGTGAATATCCCAGGTTTGTCAGGCAGCTGGTAGTCCCTGGGTTAGTGAAACCCCAATGATGATAGGCTGCTGGCAGCCCGTGAGTTAGTAAATACCCCAGTGATGCCAGGCTCTAGTGTCTATAGCATCTCTATGGTTGAGGGAGCAGGAGACCAAGCCAGTGCTTAGGGAGCTGCTGTTTTTAAATAAAGTTAAGTAAAATAATTTTTTACTAATTATTTTTTTTTTCCAAGCAAAAGTTGTGGAGGCAGTATTTAATAGGGGACAAGGGCACTATAGCATTAGGAATACAGGTATGTACTTCTAAAGGTATAGTGTTCCTTTAATAGAAACAAATCCTTGTAGCAATGTTGTATTATGTGAAACATATTCAGAAGAATAAACGTTGTAACTACGCACGCAATGCTGTGGTTTTGGACTGCCATGTTTGACTTACAATTCCCCACATACATTTTGCCATTGAGTTTAGTTCTGTAGTGAAAATATCAGTATCATAAGCCTATAGCTAGACCAAAAAAGTAATTTTTCACCAGAAAGGTGCGTACAGAACTTTGTTTTTATTTGACCAAGGGATGTATTTTTAACCCCTTAAGGACACATGACACGTGTGACATATCATGATTCCCTTTTATTCCAGAAGTTTGGTCCTTAAGGGGTTAAGGTGACAGACATATTAACATAAAAACTTAAAATCCTCATCTGCCAAATCTAGTCCGGTATGAGTAAAAGTATCAACTGTATCTTCTGACATACCTCACAGGCCCTCCTTTGGCTTCTTACATTGCCACCATAATGGAAGGCTGAAATAGTTAGAAGCAATGTTGTATTTATTTCCATTTGTTCAACCTGTATCATACTTTGAGAATGATGTCTCAGTGCTGTAATGAGAGGTGTACCCAGTGCTAGCACCACCTATTTCCCAAATAAAAACACCTTATTAGGTCCAATAGACAGTCTGAACCTGTCTCTATTGAGGAAAATTCATTTACATTTTTAAAAGTTGTGGTAAACTGTATGTATATGGAATAGAATTTTTTTTTTTTTTTTTAACACCATTGGCATGTTGGCTTATTCAGCTATGTTAGAGAGGCTTAATTATCAAGCTTGTATTTCCTCACCGCCCACTACGGTTAGTTTTGTTTTCTTTGTAGTTTCATGTAGTCTAACACTGCTCTCTTTTATTTTGAGGAGTCAGTTTGTTTTATTCTGTTAGAATTATTTTCAAACCTTATTTTTGTATGCAAGTTTAGAATTTTTACATATTTATAGAGCTTTTTAGGCTACTGACTTTTTTTTTCTACAGCTTGTATAATTGTTTTAGATTTGAACGGCTGTAAGAAATCTTGCTTTTCACGATATAACTAACAGTTTATCCATATAAATATATGTTAGTAACTATATTTCTGCTCATTCACACACATACTTTTTTTCCCCACACACAATAATAACCCAGCACAACTTAAGTATGCTTTATTTATGTTTTACAGATTGTCAGTTGAGAAAAATGTCTTTATACGATGACCTTGGCGTTGAGACCAGTGACTCAAAAACAGAAGGATGGTCGAAGAACTTTAAGCTTTTACAGTCCCAACTTCAAGTGAAGAAAGCAGCGCTGACACAAGCAAAGGTAAACCGAACTTATCATTTAAAGGAGATCTTTGTATATAGTAAATGCATGTTGTATGTGTAAAGACTTATTGTTGTATTCCTCTTTCCACTTGTTCTACTGCACTGACTTATATAGTTTATCTGGTCATTAAGTTACAGTTAAAAATACTAATAATATTAGTTAGGAAGCTTAACTGAAAAACTCAAATTGCCTGATCTTTCTGATTAAAATGATGATGCTTGTAGCCATTAGTGCTTTTCAGGGTTTTTTAAACATACTTTTCTGAAGCAACAAATATGAGAACTAGCTAACATGATATGATTATAATGTTTTAAGCCCACCACTGTGTCAAAGCACTGTGTGGACCATGGGTAGTCAACTTGGTCGGTTTGGGATTTCAGGTGGGCGGTGGTGGGTTCTGCAGAAAACCAAATTGGGCTTGCAGCATTATGTCCCCCCTCCCTGGTAAAAGGTAAAAAGAAGGGAGGAGACATTAATATAGATTTTTACATCTCACACACCCACACAAAGCATAGACCTTATGCACCCTTCACACACATCCCTTACCCCTTCACGCGCACACCCCTTACTCACACTGTCCTCCACACACACTACACCCTTCACACATACTGCCCCCCTCACACACTGCACCCTTCACATACACACTGCACCTTTCACCCACATACAGCACCTCACCCACATATAGCACCCCTCTAACACACACACACACACACACACACTACACCCATCACACATAAGCACGCACACAGCACCTCACACACACATATAAAAAAAAAAGGGAAAAAAGATACATTTAAGTACATTTTATTTTAAAGAAAACCCTCAAAATTGTTTAAAATTGCACTTACGCTGTAAAATTAGTTACTGGGGCAGTAAGGAAATTTTACCCACTAGGGTGGGCGGTAAGAAAATTTTACCATCAACAAAAGTGGGCGGTAGGTATTAAAAGGTTGACTACCCCTGATGTAAACATATGATGGGACCAATTTTTTTTTATTTTATTTTTTTTTGTTTTATAGGTAAATTTCTATACATTTGTATCATTTTCACTATTAAAGAGTCCGACTTATTCATGACATCTTGAACACACTCTCTCAAGGGCTGTCCGTAAAACAACCTGGAACACTTGTCTTGTTACCAGTGTTCCAGTTCCAAGTTGCCATTGTCAATTTTGTCTCTATATTGCATTCAATTTGCACACACTGCATGTAAAATACGGATGGATCTCTCTCCTACCAGAAAAGGGAGCCAAGCGTTGGACCGCACATGACGATAGCAATACACAGCCTGGTTCACTACACTGAGGTTGTCTGTAAACTGGATAGCAGGTTGTCCGGTTATTGGCATTATTCTATATGTCCTCCTCAAATTTAACTCTCAAAGCACATTTTAAAAGAAGTTTTACATACCCGACTGACTTCACTGAAACCATGCTGAAGTCCAGTCAAAGGCTTTTCATAGAGAAGTTTTTGATTGGATGATTTATGCTCTCTGCCCGCAAGGGAGAAACCGTTATGTCTGTCAGAAGCGTGCAGTGCGCACAGACAGACATGTTTTAGGCACAGAACTTAAATTAGTTGGTACAGAGTTAGTCACTAAACTGCGAATTGTTAGTAATTTAGTGAATTTCAAATTTTGGGACAAAAAGGAAAAACAATTGCTGACTTTTATATTTGCGGAGGTTTTATATTTTTCCTAATTCAACTATGTTAGCCTAAAATTTTTAAATTTGTAAACTACATTTTAGTGAATATTCCCTCAGTGCTCTTTATGGAGTCGTGAGAGCATTGCATGATTTATGTTAATATTGCATTTTTCTTCCCCCCACAAAAAACAGTTGCAATGTTGTGCATTATACAGTTTGTAAAATGAAATGATGCTTATGTGGCTAATTCCTGTTCATGTTATTTGAATCTGATCACATTGATTTCTTTTTTCTGTCAGCAGTTAATCTTCCTGTGTTTTATTTCAGACACAAAGAACGAAACAGAGCAATGTACTTGCTCCTGTGATAGACCTTAAGCGCGGCGGTACTGATCAGATTGTGGACACACCACCTCATATTGCCTCTGGGTTAAAGGTAAACTTTAGGATGGTGATGAAATCAGCCATTGTGGCAATATTTATTATTATTATTGACCTTGGTATGGGTCCTTGATTTTATGAATTACTAAATTTGTTTGTCACAAATCAGAAGTTACTTTCCAAAAGAGTCTCTAGTCATGATACAAGTTGTTTTTTGTTTTTTTGTTGTTGTTTTTAACCATGGCACATGAGAGAGTTCATTTCCATTTTAAAGGGATACCTCATACACTTTAGCAACCTAAGCATATTGAATAGATTTTCGTGCAAGTATCTCCCCTGTTCCTGTTGCAGTGTTATTGCCTCTGTGCAGCATGCCTCAAATTCAATGATTGTCTGTGTATCCTGTGGTGAGTGGAGCAACTGAAACATGAGTTGTGAGACCTGGTGATATCTAAAGAGTAATTTTGAATTCTTCTACTGGGATCACTAGTCCATTTATCAAGATATCCTTAAAGGACACTGTAGGCACCCAGACCACTTCGGCTAATTGAAGTGGTCTGGGTGCTGTGCCCCTATTGCACTTTATGCAACAATGTAGCTCTAAGTCTGCTCTCAGTGGCTGTCTGACAGACATCCACTGGGGGCGCTTCCAGAATCGAAACGGACCTTTGGTCCATTATCTGATGCTGGAAGAGGACCTCCAGCATCAGATTTTCCCCATAGGAAAGCATTGAATAATGTTTTCCTATGGGGAAGTCTAATGCGCGTACATGGGTCTACCTAGCGCTGGATCCAGGTAAGTAGCTGAAGAGGTTTTAACCTTTTTAAACCTATAGTGCCAGGAAAACGGCACTATAGGATCGATTTAGGATCGATTTTCCTGGCACTATAGGATCGATTTAGTGAATGAGGGCGCCATAGAGAAGAATGAAAAAAGCGAGATGTTGCAAGATAAAAATGGAAATCACATAAAACATTATACATTAAGGTAGGGGTTCCAAATCAGTTTTTCCAGTGGAACCCTTTGGCACAGTGTACCAACGTAGTAGAACCCCTCCCCCACCCCCCAGGAAAAAAAATGCGCCGTAGCATAAACATTTTATTGAGCAGAGCTTTGTTTTCTTTTTTGACAAATTTAGTTTTATTTTTTAATTTTTTTCTATATATTCCCTAATTTCTACAGATATTAAACAGATTGTAGTACTTAGGATCAGGTGTGCTTCACTGTGTGGAGCTGGTTTGTATATAATTTTTGCATATTAATACAGGGGTGGATTTGTATGTAATGTAATTTGTGTATAGTATTGGTGTTTGAGTGAAGGGTGTCTTTGAGAGTTTGTATATAATTTTGGAGTTGAAGTCCAGGGGTGTCTTTTTATGTTATTTTTGTGTTTGCATGTTGTGTGAGTTTTTGATTGCTGGGATGTCTGCACATACACTGCCGCATACATACTTGTTCAGATATACATGCACATTAACAAACAGAAACACACAGGTACACACACATATTGACTCACAGATACACACACTAGCACAAAGACACTCACTGGCACATACACACACTGAAACACAGATACACACATTGACACATACACACACCAATATACACGAACACTGGCACAAATCTAAACACACACAGGTAGTTTATAATTGCAGCCACCTTCCTGTTAGCTTACCTTTTTTTCTGCAGGAGGTTGACTTCCTTGGAGTGCTGCTAGTGTGTGAGGTCAGCAGCAGCTCTCTCCCCCATCCTGCATTCTCTCCATCCCGCTCGGCTAGCTCTATGTCTGGGAGGATATGGCAGGTTGTCACTTCCTCCCAGCATCCAATACTACAAGGGCCCGTGGCACCTCACCCACTGTTCAGCAATACCCATCGGGTGACCCTAAGTGCTTGGGTCACCTGATGGGCAAATAGCATTAGAACACCAATTGGGAAATGCTGCATTAAGGTAATGGGAATTGTTGCATTACTTTTTACCCCTGGGTGAAAACAGCTGGACTTTGGCCAAGGGAGTACATAAATGATTGGTAAATTAAATGTTGTTGTTCTCAAATGACATCCATAGTTTTTGCAAGTAGAGTGACAAATCCCTGTAAGTGTATTGGGTTTGGTGAGAAAATCATGTCTGATGTACTGTGTACATGGCATTGTAATTCTATGGTCATAAGGAAAGTTGTTTATTCTTAAGGTACTGGATGATTTTGAATTTTATTATTTATAATGCTTGTTTTTAAATGTTTGTTGTATTCTACAGGATCCAGTTCCCAGTGGCTTCTCTACCGGAGAGGCTCTGGTACCATTAGCAGATGAGTATGACCCTATGTACCCCAATGAATACGAGAAAGTAGTGAAACGTCAGAGGGAGGAGAGGCAGCGGCAGCGTGAAATTGAGAGACAGAAAGAAATAGAAGAAAGGGAAAAGTAAGAATCTAGAAAAATTAACAAAAATAAATATCTGTGCATTAACTGAATGAAATGTTACACATGCTGTAATTATAAAATAAATGTATTTTATTTACAGTTATAAAGGTCTATTAGTGAATATGTTGCTCAGCCGAACATGCTTAGTTAATTGCATATATTCTGGAGGAAAAGTTTGATTCACATAGGTTTACACAGTGCTATCTCTGAGCATTGGCTGGCAACCACAGCTAAACTTGTCAAATTTGTACTCTATTATGCTTTACTTAATGGAATATAACAGCCATGAAAACAAATTTAGCTTAATGAAGCAGTTTGGTGTTTAGATCATGACCCTGCAGACTCACTGCTCAATTCCATGCCATTTATGGGTTAAATAACTTTGTTTATATATCCCTAGACAAACCTCTCTGCATGTGACATTACACATCCTTCCTAAACATGCCATGTAAAGAGTCATCTAATGTTTCCACTTTCTATATTGCAAATTCTGTTTAATTTGAAATTTTCTTAACTCCTGCTCTGTTGATAGCAGGAGCCTCCTTTTATGTAATCAAAATTCAATTTATAGAGTGGGAGATAAAAACCTTTAAAATCTTCTGATTGAAAATGAAACAATTTTTTTTTCATGCAGCCTGGGTCAGTCACAGCAAGAGGAGGTGTGGCTAGGGCTTCATAAACCAAAATAGTTTATTTAACTCCTAAATGGTAGAGAATTGAGCAGTGAGACTTCAGATGCATGATCTATACAAAACTGCTTCATTAAGCTAAAATTGTTTTGGTGATTAAAAGAAAGACAGAAAAGTCCTATTTTAGACTTGACACTCTATTTTAGACTTAAAACTCAATTGAGCAATTGATTTTGTTAAAGGTATATATAAAATAATGATTTTCTGCTGTAGAAATTTTATATAATCATCAGAAATAAAAATGTCAATGCCTACACTAATAGCTAGGCTTTAAAGGTCACTTGCCAACACAAGCCTGGAAGGTCCATGACACTCATCAGGGCTACAAATTTTTCTTGCCAATGGTTAGTGGAAATGTTGAGCCGTATTATTTGTATTATTATTTGCAACATTTATCTAGCACCAACATATTCCTCAGCACTTTACAATTTTAGAAAGGGGATATCTGAAGGTGAGCTCACTGCTCAAGTGAGCTTGCAATATAAATAGGTTCTCAACTCACTACAGCTCTTGTTTTACTCAATAGATCCCTATGTTTTCACTTTCATGGAAGTGAAACCTCATAATGTGTCATTTAGACAATCCAAACTGATAGGATGCTGTACAACGTGCAGATTACAGAGCTCAGGCTAGTTATATTAATGGAGCAACATCTGATCATGACAATACTTCTGGAATGGATTTGTTCTAATGCTTGTAATCTTTTCTGTGTTCACTGTTACATGGACCAAATGAATAGGGAGGTTATCTAATTTTCTGTTTGAGGAATAACATTGATAATTTAGCTGATCTAATTTTCGTAAAACAAGGGTTTTGATGAGAGTAACTCTTGCTGTGCTGATTTCCCTCCCCCAACCATCCCCAAGTTAAAAAAAAATTGTGATGTGAAAATCAAATACACAACAAGCCTTTAGAGTAAAGACAAATTTATTCTGTGTATAATTAATTTTTGTTCCTAAATGTCTAAAAACTGTTGTGCCGTTTACATACATTAATTTATTTTTCATTTATCCACTGCAGAAATATTATGTTATGAAGTATTACAAATTATGGTATTTTCATAGTAGGAATAAAGGTGATTTTTATATAGAATATATAAATTATTAAATGCCCTACTAATTTGAATTTCTAAGGCAGTTGCTGGTATGCTTTGGAAAAATTAGAGTAATTTTGTTTTCTTCCTGGTAAATGCTTTATAAATCTCAACCTATTATATAAGTATATATTTTAAAATAAGATGTCAAACTCTGTCTTAGGCGAAGAAAGGACAGACATGAAGCCAGTGGATTTTCCCGTCGTCCAGATCCTGAAGACGAAGAAGACGAAGATTATGAACGAGAGAAAAGAAAGAGGGGTAAATTTTTATTATAATTTTTTTGGGTTGTGTGCTTGTGCACACACAAACCCAAAAGGGCTGCTCTTACCTGAACATGTATACTTTATGAGGGTGCTGCTGGGGACAATTAATACAACATACAAGACCTAGTGCACTCACTCACTAAACCGCAACTTTAAGGCTCAAAGAATTTAATAGAATTTTTTAATTTTTTTTAAAACTTGAATTAGGCAAAAATAGTTGGGATATAGTTACAGTATACGATCATACATTGCATAAGGCTGCCACAAAGCCAATGCACCACATTTTTGGCAGGTCCTACTCTGTAGCAACCTAATGCCTGCTCTTATGATACTAATCCCCTTACTTGGAAATCCTTACTCTGGTGCTTTCTGCAGTGCAAGGTAAAATAGGGCCCTAGAGTGCGGGGCCTGACTGTCATGGAGCAGAGACATGCTTTGCTAGAGCTCCTCTCCTCTGCGAATTTGAACTGCAGTTCTAATCCTCATTCTGCCTCAGTGGGAACTATTTAAGTGACTTACACAATTCCTGACTCAACTAAGACCCACTGTAGGGTGTAAAAGTTTGAAAGGAGTTCACCTGCTGTACAGCTCATATCATGAGGCCTGATGCGCACCGGATGAGGGAAACGTCCGATCTTCTGGGCCGGAGCTGCTCGATGGTAATCAACACCAAACTGGAGACCCGTTACTCCCACCCCCCCACCCCCCTGATCAGTGGGGGTGATACTGGTCCACCCTTGGGAGGCTGCCCTGACGACGTAGGAGTTGGAGGCAACACCACAACGGCTACTACTAACTTCAGCGACATAGCCAAAATGGCGGACGCAGAGTGGGTCCCCGGCAACACTGAGGACAAATCTGATATATGTCCAGGCTGGACAGAATATTCAACAATTTTTGGTGCAAGGTAGAGAATAGGATGCACCAACTTGTTCTTAGCCAATTGTGCGACCACTCATTGAAAAAGCCGACCCCAAACATACAGCAGAAAATCACAGCTGCGGAAGCACATCAGGCCCCAATTTGGCGGTGAGGCGGGAAATGTGCCAAGCTATGACACACAGCTGCTCGTCCATAAAGGGGTAAACACTTACCTCAGTCAGCCCCCAAAATCCTCACATGTCCCAGTGGCAGAAGCTCCATCCTACAGCGAAACATACACCGTGTTTCCTACAAGCACAACACAGCGCAGAAGCACACAACCAAGCAGTGCAGACATCGCAAGTCGGAGATCTTGTGGGGAACCCCAGGCCTGGCTGGAGATTTGGCCCATCAGCATCTATCTTGGATCCATGGCACACAGCATGCCTCTTTATTACGTGACTATGCTCTGTCCATGGAGGGCATAGGTTGAACATGACCTTGAGACTGATCTGTGCGGACAAGCCACTCACTTTATTCTCCCTACATATCTGATTTGGCGAGGCTTTTGGTTGTATTGCTTGCTGCCTACATAAGTGCGTCTTTATTCGTTATACATAGTTTATTTTATTTTTATTTAACTGTTTTTATCCTGAGGCTCAGTTTATCAATCTCTCGCTAGTCACATAATTAAGTCTCCCAGAGAAATAATCTTGTTGTTTCTACTTTTGTTCTATCTTGTTTAATAATACCAAGAGTGCAGTATTTTCATGTGTTATGCTACATTTATACTCTATACTCGTTAACTATACCAAGTCCTGGGTACCCATGTTAAAATGAGAGCTATGAGATGTTGCAACTTACCTTTTACACTCACTCAGCAATTTAATCCCTTAAGGACACAACATGTGTGACATGTCATGATTCCCTTTTATTCCAGAAGTTTGGTCCTTAAGGGGTTAATCTAACATGCTAACACCTAATCATTGGCCATTTACAAGTCTAGAGTTTATCCTAAAACTGTGAGGCCAGAACATACTAGGCAGACAGCTCTGGTTCTCCATCCTGCTAGTAAGCACTAGATACTCATGTTGTGATAGCTACATGGGCATAACAGTTTAACCTTCGACCAGCAACTAAACATGGTAGCCTAACTTATTAATTTTATTATTATGTTATTTATATAGCGACATCAAATTCCGCAGCGCTTTACAATGGGTGGATGAACAGACATGTAGTTGTAACCAGACAAGTTGGACACACAGGAACAGAGGGGTTGAGGGCCTGGCTCAATGAGCTTACATGCTAGAGGGAATGCTAACTTGTGAATGCACGCCAACAATCCTGTTATTCTTGCTTTTCCTTTTACCTTTAATTTTATAAAAAGTGCACTACTCATGCATCATGATTTCACCTGTATTATATCATCTTGCTGATATGTCAGTTTATACATCTTTGTCTACTGCTGCGTTACCAAAAATAAAGAAAAACTAAATTATGCCCTGGAATGAGGCACAAGGAGGGGTAAAAAGCAACATGTGTTGGTCTGGACACCCAAATATATTTACATATTAAAACCAAGAGAAATACACTTACCTTACTATGCATACATTATAAGGGTGCTGGTGAGGCCAATTCATACAAGATCTCTAAAAAAAACATAATCAAAGTTCACAGAATATAATAGTTTGTTTTTTAATTTTAAGGACACCTCACATGGGCAAAAATAATGGGGATATAGTTACGATTATTTATAAACTATTTTACCAGGATGGATACATTGAGATTTCTCTAGTTTTCAAGTAAGTCTTGGGTCTTTGTCCAAATAACATTGTAACGTTACAATAGGATACAATATTACAAAAATACAATATGCAAGCTATATTGTGTATATATTACATAACAAGTAATAAATATATTTCTTTATGGTTTTTATCTACGCAGTTTAAAACCTATTTTTCAGTAGAATGATCGTGTTGGGGGGGTGTTCTTTAGGCCAGTTGATTTAGCTGAAGGTTTTTCTGAATGGAGAGACTTGGCTGACTGATCTGGGGGAAAAACTTGATCACTCCTATAATTTGGATTAAGAGATTTAAGGTTTACTTCTGCAACTAGATAGACGCTGACCTTGCTTAGTGTTTAGTTGCATGAGATTATCTGATACTGAGTTCTAGTCCAAACTGTAATTCAAGGACCGATCATCCCAGAAGAAAGACCAAATTATCTCAATAGTTTGATTGTATTTTGCATATTTTTACCATTTAGCACTTTGCTTTGATTTAATGTATGTTTCTTTCAACAAATAGCCTAAAATTTATTTTTCAATAAATTATGTAAATGCCATTTCTAGAGTATGAAAGTGCAGTGAGCTAAACTGATAGAAAATTTGACTCTGTGGCACCAACAGCAATCTCTATACTAATTATATATTTGTTTCCATATTATTTGATATCCATTGGCTAACTTATTTTTTTTTTTTTTTTACTTGGTATGCCAGTCTGTCCTGGCACAGCCAGACCATAGAGTGTAAATTAACTTAACCTCCTTGGGCCTGGAGGATACCACATTTTTTTGGAACTATGGAAGGAATACCTTGGTGGGCCCTCTTTTATTTACAGGCCCACTCGGACGTGGTTTCGGCACACCACAATGAAACTTTCATCTCAGACACTATCCATTACATATTAAATTCCAAGCACATATATATATATATATATATATATATATAATGTGTGTGTGCAGCATTCCACTGTTAAATGCTGCACATTCTGACATTTAGCAGCTTGCTATGTCAGATTTGTGCCAGTTCATGTTAATTCTGTGTACAGTGAGGTTTGTTCATATGTGTTCATCCTGCATTCCAAAAGGCTTTGCACTTGGCGGGACTTAGGTAACTGGGAATCTGCTGCAAAACTGTTTGCTCCCTTACCAGAGAATGGCACCAGAGTAATCTGCAACAGTGGGCTGTAATGGTTATGATGTACAGAGTAGCCCTTTTAAAGGACACTCTAGAGTACCAAAACCACTATATATTAAATGCTTTTGAAGCATGGAAAAACTCCTTTTACTTGGACAAAATAAAAAAGAGAAAAGGGAATGTTTACATTCAAAGGTCTTCATGTTCAGCATCCTCACAAACAGGGTGATGACCATGAATGCGTTTAATGCTTCTCATAGAAAAGCATTGAATTCAGCTCTACTCTGTAAGAAGCATTGGTTTGGACCAGAGTCCATAACTGATGATCTCGTTGTGGGTGGAGCTATTCCTGAAAGGAGACTGTTCATGAGCTGGATTACAGAAAGTTTAAAGGCTTTCCTTTTTTATTTTAACAATCAGGATTCCTAAATATAAATTTAAAATAAAAAAAATACAAAACATAAATTTGTGTTAGTGTTCCTAACACAAGGAAATTTCATATGCAGTATTGGTGTACTTTCCCCCCATCTATAGTTTGTAGATTTATTTTTCTCTTTCTCATTGTGAAATAAAATTTAAATAAATGCTACAGATCTTTTAGAATGTTTAACCCCTTGTTACCAGAAAATCTGTAATTATTTGGCTTATATGTATCTAAGCTGTTTAAGACATTCTCCTGGTGCTGCCTTCACAACCTATGTTACAATAAGACTGTATGTGAATGGTAGCTATTGTAGAATGTGTCATATTTCTCTGTGTGACTTCTTAGAATGTATTTCCTGCTACTTAAGTAGTAAAATTAGACATTTTTCTGTGAGGTAAGACAAATTAACTAGATGTGTGCCACAAAAATTAATTCTATGTCAGACTTAAATGTGTACATATGATAAAATGTGTTTGTTTTTTTTGTATACTCTAACATCTAGTTTATTTTGATATGACTTACTTTGTTGTTAGAGCTGTGAGACACAAATGCCTGTCTCTGACTTAAAATAATTAAAATAAATGTAATAAGAAAAAGTGAACATCACACCAGCATATAGGTACTACTGCAATACCAAGTGGTATATACGTGAACTTGTTCACTTCAACTCTTGAACATACTGTGCATGTGTTTGGAAAGTGGATGTAGTCAGACTGATTAGTTTTGTGTCAAATATATTTTAACTAATTATATGGTTTTATGTTCACAGTAATAGGAGGAGCTGCTATTGCACCACCAACATCCCTTGTTGAGAAGGACCGAGAATGTAAGCTTTCAATAAGTTTAGATTATGTATGCTTCTTTTTGACACTAGGTGGAGTACTTCTACTTTAGAATATATATGTTCACGTACAAATGTTACATTTTACAATGTACATAGGTTTGACACGTCATTGATTATGACAAAAATGTTGCTGCTTTACATGTGTTAGTTATGACAATTGTGTACATGGATTACTATAGCTATGCACGTTCTATGAAAAATTTTCTTAGGTCAGAAAGCAGAAATACTGCTAACCTCTGTTCCTTATATAAAACAATGTATTTAAACTTTCAGTTTGTGTAACATAGATCTGTTTTCACTGTACATTACTAAGTCTATCATCTTTCCTCAGTGTTGCTGGTCCAAAAGATCTAATGCAGTATACTATTATGCCTAATAATAAAACATAAACTTGGGCACAATGAAAATGATCAGTTCATCTGAATGAATTTGGATGAAAAAACATTTCCATCTGTCTGAACCAAATTTTGTTCATTGGGCTATGTGGTTTGGATGAAATTCAGACCGTATTTTGGAATCTGAATTTCTGTGATCCATGACTGCATATTGCAGCTGTTTAGCAGATAACTCCGGACATCTGTACTCTTGTGTGCATATTTTAGGATAGCAAATTACGGAGCAGATTATTTGATAGGTCCCTTATATGGCATTTTTATGGCAATCCCACATAAGAATATTAACCAATTTATTGAAGCATCTACTAAGCAGCTGAAATATCAAAATTAAGCCCTTTTCTTAATGTTGGTCTTTCAGTTGTTACTAGAAGGATAACAGAGGTTTAAATCCTTAAATCCTCCCTCATGATTCACCCACCAAGCTGCAGTTAGGAGAATGTCATCCCCCCCTTATTATATTTAGAGATACAATCAATGAGTGGGGCTAGGTGGGACAGTAGGGCCCCCCTTTTCCAGGTTATTACATTTAGAGGACACACTTGGCACATTAGGGTCCCTCCAAGTTATTTTAGGGACTGGAACCACTAGTCGACTCACAGAGGTGATGCTCGAGTATCGAATGATTATATGTGGCTCCCTGGTACCAACAAGGGTCTAGCCCAGGTGGTATCTTAAAGTCTTGATGGTCTGTGCTGTCATCAAACCCTGCATGGCGTAGTCAGTCATGCGTTCCTTAAGGGGTTACAATTTGTTTGAATGTTTAAAATGGATATCTAAAATACATTGAAATGGGGTTATCTTCAGCTTTTGTGTTTAGTTAAGCTTTGAAAGAGAATAAGAAATGGACATGAAGCAGAACTATTTGAAAAGACTAACTGCATCTGCAAGATGTATTGTTGATATTATTTGCTATTATTTGGCTCACTTGAACACAAACATTTAAAGGAACACTATAAGCACCAAAACAACTACAGCTTATTGCATTTCTTCTGGCCTTCAGGCTTTTTGCTGTAAACACTGTCTTTTCAGAGATAATGCAGTGTTTACATTACAGTCTAGTGATAACTCCACTGGCCACCTCTCAAATAGTTACTAGAGGTGCTTCCTGGGTCAGTCCTGCCTAAAATGCATCCAAACATAGTGTCTCCACCCTCTGCATGCAGACACTGAACTTTCCTCATAGAGATGCATTGATTCAATTCAGCTCTATAAGGAGATGCTGATTGGCCAGGGCTGTGTTTGAATCATGCTGGCTCTGCCGCTGATCTGCCTCCTTGGAAGACTCAGCCAGTCCTATGGGGAAGCATTGTGATTGGCTAAGACCACCACTTCTGATTATGTCAGAGGCAGTTCACAAGCAGAGGCAGCAGCTTCAAACTTGAATACAAGTAAGATTTTACTATATTTATGGAGGCAAGGGGGGTCCAAGGGGGCTAGATGGTGGTATTAACACTATAGGGTCAGGAATACATTTTGTGTTCCTGACCCTTTAATGTTCCTTTAATGAAGCTGTTTTGGTGTATAGATCATGCCCCTGCAGTCTCACTGTTCAAATCTCTGCCATTTAGGTGTTAAATTGCGATGTTTATGAAACCCTAGCCAAGTCTCCCTACGAACGTCCTGAAAAAGAGTCTGTGAGATCTGATTTTAAAATGTGAGTCGCAGCCACTGCATAAACAGAAACAAAGGTGATTGCACTCCCAAATGGCAGAAAATTCAGCATTGAGACTGCATGGGGTATGCATTACACACTCTTACTGCTTCATACAGATACATTTGTTTTGGTGCTTAGTGTCCCTTTAATTTATATTAAAAAAATATTTTTTATTATATCTAATCTATAACATTTGTTTTATTTATATGTGCTCTACAACACATCTTATAGATATGTGTTTTAGATATATATTGTGATGGCAGTGTTCATAATTTGAATGGTGTATTTTGGCTTCTTTTAGCTATTGTGCCACAATATGACGACGAACCAAAGCCACGTCCTCCCGTTGCAAAAGCTGCCATACCACCACCGATGTATGATGAGCCAGAGAGATCACGTTCACCACCAATGCCTAGTAATTCCTTCCTAGCAAATATGGGGTAAGGAATAAAGCCCTTACATATTGAAAAACATGACTTATTACAGCTACATCCAGTGTATGTGTGTGCATTGCCATATGTGTGTATGGCAAAAAAAGTAATGTTTTACTTGTGTAAATGTTTTGTATTATAATAGAATGTAAGATATTAGAAATCAATGGTCACATGACGATAAGCTAGCACCAACATACTGAAAATCTTTAACAAACTAAGATTACAATTTTGAATGTTTATTTATTTTTATTTTTTTACTTATTAAAAAGGGCATTCCAGGCACTGACATGAACATATTAGGTGCTTGGTTACAGTTAAGTATAATTACATGCAAATTAAAGAAATGCTAATATTATGGCCACAGTAATAAGAATCTTTTTTAGAAAAGGCTTTGATTAAGCATTAGCAATGTATTACCCATGTATTCAGAATTTTTTTTTTTAATTTAATTTTTTACTTTACAGTGGAACAGTGGCTCACAAAATAATGCAGAAGTATGGCTTCCGGGAAGGTCAGGGTCTTGGAAAGCATGAACAGGGGCTCAGCACTGCACTTTCTGTTGAAAAAACAAGCAAGAGAGGAGGCAAAATTATTGTTGGGGATTTGGCAGATAAAGGTATGTTTGTGATTGCTGAGTTTCATGGGAAATTAAGTAGTTAAGCTAGAAAAAGGCAGATTTAGATAAAATTTGATCTGCCAGAAATTGAATTCATAAATTGGCATGTAGTTTAACAAATAACAGTACAGACTGTGTGGCAAAATAAGGTTGACAACATCTTGCCACTTTTTTTTTTTACAGCATAAAGACAAAGTTTTGAATGTATCTACACACAACCGTTTAGATTAAAAAAAATTATTTTTTTTTAAAAATTCACACAATACAGAAAAAAAGAATAACTAATCTGTTGAGAACTAGAATATTTTGAGTGACAAATGACCCCTCTGAGTGACTGCAATCTGTGCAGTATATAATGTGCAAATGTGTTGTAAATGTATAAATTGTGCTTACAATGCGTGCGTGGTGCGCTTGGCTTGAATTAAGGTTTGTATTTCTACCTTTCAGTTGACTCCTCAAAGAAAGCGGACCCAAACCCTCTGACAGAAATATTAAAGTTCCCCACCAAGGTTGTTTTACTAAGGGTAAGAAGAAAAACATATGTATCAAGTTTTTCTATTTCCTAATCAGATAATTGCAAGCATCAATTATGAAGCATTTGTTAGAAGTACCTGTGTATACAGTATTTCAAAAATCCAGCAGTAGTAAACATGTATTTTTTAGACACTTTAAGTGCTTTTTGCTTATGCATTTATAAATTCAGTTGAATATTGGTCCAAAATGAAGTTTATTGTAGCTTTCTGACTCTGTAAATAAACATGCACTCTCTTAAATTTAACCACAGAACATGGTAGGTGCCGGAGAGGTTGATGAAGATCTAGAAGCTGAAACTAAAGAAGAATGTGAAAAATATGGAAAAGTTGGAAAATGTGTTATTTTTGAGGTAAGTGCATTTTTATATTTGTCTTGGCAGAAATCGTATGGAGTTTTACAGGGATTCAAGATGAATGCCTTTATTGTGTTTCAAGAATAGTCTAACTGTATATCTTAAAATTGTACACCTGTAGGTGCATTCAGGTATACTTGTATAGGCTTCCTCTATTCCCCTAAAACTTAAATGAAACACAAGCACCATAACCACTACAGTGTGTCCTGGTGTCCGACCAAAGGAAGTAGTCGAATTGTTTACTAATGGTTTTACTTCTTTACTACCTCTGTTGTGCACAGGTAGTGCGTCTTCTGTTTGTTCTCCTGAGCTAAACCCTGCTGTGCATGGTATGTTCACTGGCTGACAATGTCTAAGCACTCTCAGCCAGTTAGCTAAGTCCTGCATCACTTTGTTTTGATGAGGAGGAAGGGAGCTATGCCAGGTTAATCCCGGGTAAGAAGTCAAACTTTTAGCCAATAATCTGACTACTTACATGGGTGGGGGGAGGCACTGTAGTGGTTTTGTTGTTTGGAGTGTTCCTTAAACTATAAACTCCTTCTCCATTTTCTTCTTTGAAGTTGCCGTTAGCTCAAACACAAAGAGTGTTTTGATGGTCACATTGCATTGCCCGAATTTAAATGTTACCGCTTATGCTTCCTGCAGCACATATTCTTTATCACTTCCCAGCTGTATAAACTGTTCATGGCATGCAGATGTTAAAGGAAAGAGAGGTGGAGATGGATTGGAATACAAATAGTAAATATTCCAAACTGGTGTAAAAAGAGACCAAGATATGCAGGACTTGGGGTTTTCTCTCCCCCACTACCCCTGGTTACTAGTTGCAATGGTGGTTGGAAGTGATTTGTTTGGTTTTTTTTTTTCTCCATTTTTTTTATTTTAATTCCCTTCTTAGTTCTGATTACTGCAAGAGAAACCTTTTATATTGTATTGTTATATGGATTTGATTCTAACTAATCGTTTCTGGTTTGGAATCTAAGATGTATATCCATTAAAGGACCACTATAGTGCCAGGAAAACATACTCGTTTTCCTGGCACTATAGTGCCCTGAGGGTGCCCGGCTCTGGAAGGGGGAAAGGGGTTTAAACTTACCTTTTTCCAGCGCTGGGCGGGGAGCTCTCCTCCTCCGTTCCTCCTCCTGGGCTGAATGCGCATGCGCGGCAAAAGCTGCGCGCGCATTCAGCCGGTCACATAGGAAAGCATTCATAATGCTTTCCTATGGATGCTTGCGTGATCTCACTGTGAAAATCACAGTGAGAAGCACGCAAGCGCCTCTAGTGGCTGTCAATGAGACAGCCACTAGAGGATTAGGGGGAAGGCTTAACCCATTCATAAACATAGCAGTTTCTCTGAAACTGCTGTTTATGAAAAAATGGGTTAACCCTAGCCGGACCTGGCACCCAGACCACTTCATTAAGCTGAAGTGGTCTGGGTGCCTAGAGTGGTCCTTTAAGTAAATAAGGCCTCATGCCCACATTCAGTGTGCATTTACTAATGGGATTTTTTATTTGTATTATATTTATTTTTTTTAGCTGAATTTAAAGTTTTGTTTTTTGTTTTAACAGTTTATCCTCTACATTTTCTAATAACAGTGCTTGCCTCCCTGTTCTCCCTGTCATTGCTCGACTGATTAAATATGACTTGTATGCCTCTTGTGTGTTCACTATTAAAGCTCATTACCACATTGTGGCACTGCATCTATGCTTATGTTTGACATCATAAAAAGAGGCAAAACCAGTAGCAATGTGTTTGGAGGCTAAAAGTATAGAGCTGATGTGGCTTTCTTTATTAACATGATAATATTTGAAAGGTTTACGTACTTCCTGGTTTATCCTTGGTTTGCTTTTCTCTGAAGCATCATCCTTTTTCTAAAGTGGAAAAATGGCGCTTCGTATTATTAAATTGCATATATTAGTGTTTTCATTGAGATGATAGTTTTATTTGTATATGTATTTTGACATGTGTATTTGAAGGAGTGAGTAACTGGGAAATATTTTCAGTCTTGATTTTTTTTTATTTTTTTATTTTTTGCAAGTGTGGAGAATCTATGAAATATTTTTCATTGAGATTTTTTAGTCTGGTGGTGGCTGCACCTATTCCAAGTGAAGGTCGTGCTGACCCTGACCACATATTGATTTTCTTTGGCATTTTAACTGCAAATGATTTTTTCTGAAATGTGCTGGCCTTTTCTCTTTGACCAGCACAGTACCGCCGCATGGGCTTTTCACTTTTTTTCTGGCCCCTGTTGTCTGCATATAATGTATAAAGCTGTGTTTTATTCTTAATTTTGTTTTCTTATCAGGAGAGTTGTGTATCAAGTTAGATTTTTACCTTAATATTGTCTTCTTTTTTTTCTTTTCTTTATTTCTGGTTTTCTGTAAGTTAATTCAGCATTGAACTAGTGAGACTCTTTACATGTTTGCCTTTGGCATTATTTACCTTGACTAATGGTATAATTAGGGTTAAATCACTTATTTGTATCTTATAAAGCTAGTCTTTGATTTGCATGGGGAGGAATTCTGCTCATTTGTGTAGGCTTTACATGTCTGGATTATACTGGCTAAGTGATAGCAGTGGTTCCTATGTGTCTGATCCCTGATTATAACGTTGTTTGTGTGTAAGGGAAAGTTTCCAGCCATTGTGTAGACATGGATGATAGCACATATTTCAACTGATCGGTTTGTTTGCATTTTAGATCCCTGGTGCTCCTGATGAGGATGCTGTGAGAATATTTCTGGAATTTGAACGGGTGGAGTCCGCAATTAAAGGTAAATTGCATAGATTATATAAGGCCCCATTTGCTTGACAAGTTTCTGCGGGAGGGTTGGAATACTAGTGTGGTGATTACACACTATTATTAATTGTTACACTCATTTGCTAAGGCTTGCAAATTGAATTGCAAAAGACAGATGACTCTTTTTCAAAAATTACTAATCTAATTACTAATCTAATTTGCAGATGCCTGTCTTCTTAGTGGTGTGCCTACAGTATAATGTACACACATGCCTAATTAAACTGTAGTTTAAGATCTAAATCATTTCAATGCAGTATAGGCGGTCAAACAATAACTTTGGCACTTATGCCCATTTTTATTTATTGATTGTTTCAAAACCATGTATAACACCTTCTGCCCATTTCATTCCATTACCATTGGTCAGTTTTACATTGGGTTGAGTTTTTTTTTGTCCATGTTTCTAAATATAAAGTAAGTTTCAAATTTGAGAAGAAATTATCCAAACTGGGGAAAATAGATTTGTCGGTCTTCAATTCAACTGTTTTGGCCTAAAAATTTTAATTCAGTTTGAATGCTTGACAATTCACAAGCTCATGAATAGCCCTGTAATTGTGTATGAAATGAGATTGATCGTACAGTTAACACATTACTGAAGTAACCCGTAGACGTTAAATTAATTGCTTGGAGAATGTTTGTTTGTTTTCAACGTTCCTCTTCTTTTTTTCAAATTTTCACCAAGAAGAAAATGGGACAAATATGTTTTTATACAGTGTAACCCCTTTGTTGCTAGGCTGTTTTATATTTCTATGCTAAAACTACACATAGGCTTTTGCATTAACTGCATTTTAACACCCATATGTTAGTGTTCTTCGAGTAACTCTCGTATGTTATATGCAGAAAATACAGAATATTATTGAATTTTTTTTTTAAATTGCTCTCATTTAAAATGCAAAAAAAATTTACTTTCGATTTAATTTCCTATAATGGGAACCACACCTTTGGCAAATATTGTTGATTGTGTCACTTTTATGCATAACACAAGTATTGCAATTTTCATTTAATGTAGAGAATCTGCAATGTTTGCTAGGGAATTGTGTATTTAAATCACACCTAATTTGTAAAACACTTGCTTACTCACAATTGAAAAAGTCTACTCATATTGTTGTCAGATAGGTATTACTTAGCTGCCCGTAGGTAATCTATTGTTGAACGGTATTACATTTTTGATTTATTGCATCTGATTATTCACTTGCTTCTGTTTCAGCTGTGGTTGATCTAAATGGAAGATATTTTGGTGGCAGAATAGTGAAGGCATCTTTCTACAACCTGGACAAATTCAGAACTTTGGATCTTGGCGAGTAACAAGAGATTGAGATCATTCTCTTGACAGATTGCCATGGGTTGTCTGTTTCAACCAAGTGGAAAGGACATCTCTAACTAACCCAGAGTGTGTAAAGTGGAGTGTGCCCTGCTCTCCTTTGATACACCCGGTTATATTTGTCACGTTTATTGTGATGAGCTTTTTTTCCCTTTGTTACTTTTCGTTTTATACCATAAAAGACTTTGTGAAAACACAACCTTGTCTTGCCCCCTTTTTGAAAGCTGTTTTCTTTTTTTTTTTTTCTTAACACGTGTTTACACCAATTATGCACTTGTTTCCCGAGCATTTGCTGAATGCTATTTATTATTGGGCTACATATATATTTCTGACAGTATCAAATCTGCACAGATGTATTTTAAGTTGTTGTTTTTTAATTGTGTCAAGTGTTTATCACTTTTTAATCTTTATGTAAAAAAAAAAAATATCCAAATTATAATTGGTTTTGTTTCCAATGGGCAAGACTTTTACACATCTGTTTACAATTATACATGTTTAAAGGGCAGACCATAATAGAGTTCAATATCCTAAACATCGCATAATCTGTTTAATATTTATAATTTTTTACTTTTTAAAACATAAACGGTTAATAATGATTTTCTGCACTTGGAATATTTTTTTTTCAACTTTTTTACCTCTTCCATAACTTTTATTCCATTTCTATTCCAAAAGTGGTTAATGAGATAACTGGAAAAAAAGTATGTGGAATTCAAATGGTCACTTGTTGATTTAAATGTCATGATGTTAAAGAGGAAGTTTTTGTAGTCTTAAAGTGGCTCTGTCACCTCAAACTTACCTTTCTCCTAATTTTTTCATTTCTCTTCTGCTTTCAGAATCTATTCTTCCTTTCTGAGCTTTTTCTTTTTAAAACATAAGACAACTTCAGGACTATCTCACAATATAAATACAATAGACCGCACACAGGGATGAGCCCCTATAGTCCATAGAAAAAATTAAATGGAAGATATGTAAAGTATGAAAAAAGTGCATATTTATTGGGATAAAAAAATGACATAAACCAATGGCATTAGATTGTCATGGCAGCCCTCATAGGTACTCAAGGGTTCAAGCAGGCATAATTTATTATACAGATGACATGTTGTCTCGAATAAATAGCATAGATATCCAAGCAAAAGAAACAAGCTTTGCAAAAATAGGACAGATTAATGAGAGGAATAGAAATTGTCACAATTCTTGCTACTGCCAGACAAGGGAGAGATCACCCACACCACTACCCGAAAAACAAGTGATGCAAGTACCCTGGACACGTTTCGCACCTCCATGATGCTTTCTCAACATGTAATGGTGTGGGTGGTCTCTCCCTTGTTTGGCAGTAGCAGGTATTGCGACAATTTGTTTTTTCTCTCATTCATCTGTCCTATTTTTGCAAAGCTTGTTTCTTTTGCTTGGATATATGCGCTGTTTATGGAGACAATATGTCATCTGTATAATATACTATGCTTGCTTGAACCCATCGAGTACCTATGAGGGCTGCCATGACAATCTAATGCCATTATTTTTTATATATACCAATAAATGTGCACTTACTTTCTATATCCTCCATTTAATTTTTTTCTATGGACTAGAGGGGCTCAACCCTGTGTGTGGACTATTGTATTTTTATATTATGAGATATTTTCTATGATTGGGAAAAGTCCAGCACCAGGATCTAAACCCCATTAACCCATATATGATCTCAGGATTCCTATCTATGTACTAAGAATCTACCTGACACTAACGATACTACAGGTCTTGCTGCATCGTTTGTACTTGGGATTTTATATCTCCTCTTTTTCACATTTTCATGTTTCAACTTATTAACATAGGGCTTACTTTGTCTTATGTATTTTTTCCTACACTTGACAAATGGTGCAGCATAAGGTAAGCTCTACTATCTTGATAGGGAGTAGAGTTTGCCTAATGCCTTAAAAGGGACACTATAGTCATCAGAACAACTAAAGCTTAATGTAGTTGTACTGGTGTCTAAATCCTGTTCTTGCAGACTTTTTGCTGTAAACACTGCATTTTCAGAGAAAAGACAGTGTTTACATTAAAGCTTAGGGACAGAAGTTGCTTCCTGAGTCAGTGCTGTGCAGTGTACAGCACTGATGTTAAGCGCTACACTTTCTCCAAATAGATGCATTGATTTGAATGCATCTTTATGAGGAGATGCTGTTCTGCTCCGTCCCGCCTCTTTGATGATCTCTGCCAATCCAATGGTTTTCCTGTGGGAAAACAATGGATTGGCTGACATAATCAATTCTGATAATGCCAGCCAAAGAGGCAAATCGTTGGGCGGGGCCAGCACTGGCAGTCCCATGCAGCGCTGAAAATAAGGTGAGTTTTCTTACCCGTTAAGGGGGAGCAAGTGAACTAAATTATGGTTTTAACGCTATAAGGTAAAGAATACATGTTTGTGTTCCTGACCCTTTCGTGTTCCTTTAAGCTCAACCCTTTGTCAAGATTATCAACTGTAGGAAAAATACATAAGACAAAATAGCCCCTACTTTGTCTTATGTTTTAAAGAAACAGATCAGAAATGAAGAAAAGATTTCTTAAAGAGAAAAAGAAAAGGAAACAATAGAAGAAAGACACGTTTGAGGTGACGGACCCACTTGAAGGACAATAATGGATACAATTGTTGGATAACATTATTGCAGAGCCATGGTGCTTCATTTCTTCATTTCTTTGTGATTTTTGGGTTACAAATAAAACTTAACCTTTTCACCATGAAATACTTGTCTGTCAGGTGTTATAATGCAAGAAGCATTGGATACATTGCGGCCCGCTTTGGGATTTTGAGAGGCCCATTTGTGGGTTTTGTCGGAATGACCACAAGCTTAAGGGGTCCATCGGGTGGCCCATGCACTTAGGGCCACCAAATGGCCATCTTTGATCAGGGGTCTGGGAGAAAGTGAGAAAATGTCCCCTCCTTCCAGCATACCAACGAACCACACTGCAGAGGGGAGGACCAGATAAGGGAGAGCCCGGAGTCTGGGCCTGACAACCTTCAGTTCTAGACAGATGCCAATGGACCCCAGGGAAGCCCACCCCTTGCACCAAAAAGGTATGAAAGCAGGGAGGTGGCAAAATCCTGTAACTTGTGATCTTTGTGTGTATATGTGTTATCTATATCTCTTTGTGTGTGTACATGTGCATACATCCCAGCAAACACCAAAACTACAGATACTAAACACAAGTACACCAATGTTCCCAAATAGCAACAGTACATACAAACGCATTCAAATGCCAACACTAAACACAAACACATACATACATTCAAACACACAAAACATGCTTAAAGTTGTCACCTTTTTTTTTTTTTTTTTTTTTTTTGCATTAAGAACGGTGTATTCATACAAATGTAATGCTCCTGATTAAATACTATAAGGTATGTAATGACTTCATAACTCTGCATTGCAGCCCTTGGGTAAATTTTGGTTTTTAATTTAGCTTAATTTGGCATAATCTGTACTATTTACAATCTGTTTGTCTTTGATTGTAAGTACTGTCGTGGTTGGCCTACATTGCCTACTTATAATTTAGTAGTTGACAAAAATTCTACGGTTCATACCGATATTTTTTTAAACTAATCTGTATGATCTGATTCTTCTTGTCTTTGCCTAGTAATATCTGTGTTATTGGTTTCTACCTCTCCTGTAACTGATCATTACTGTATCAATTCATTTACATTTACAGTGTGAGGTATGGTTGTGAGTCTGATTTTTGCAATATATAGCCATTGTTGCAGTGTTATAATAACAGACACTCTCAGGGATGGACTGACAGTGGCCTGGGCCCCCGGGCAAAATTAGGACCTGGTCCCCCCCCAGACCAATATATATGCTAGTATATAAGATGGTGTATGTACGGTGTATTTGATTATATATGTGCATGTAAAGCGAATGTATGTTTTTGTGTGCATATTCCCTGTGACCCTTGGTTTAAGTGAATATATGTAAGTTTGTGTCTAGTGTCACAATGTGTGGATTCAGAGTAATATAATTTTTTTTTTTTTTTTTTAAATAGGGTAGTAGTTAAAGGACCACTATAGTGCCAGGAAAACAAACTTGTTTTCCTGGCACTATAGGTCTTTGGGTGCCCCCCAGCCTCAGGGTCCCCTCCCGCCAGGCTCAAGAAGGGTTAAGGGTTTAATCACTGACCTTTCTCCAGCGCCAGGCTCCCTCGGCTCTGGGGAAATCTCCTCCCTCTCCGACGTCAGCGCTGAATGCGCATGCGCAGCAAGAGCCGCGTGCGCATTCAATCAGTCCATAGGAAAGCATTTCTCAATGCTTTCCTATGGACATCAGCGACTTCTCACTGTGATTTTCACAGTGAGAAGCACGGAAGCGCCTCTCAATGAGACAGCCACTAGAGGCTGGATTAACCCTAATGTAAATATAGCAGTTTCTCTGAAACTGCTATGTCTACAGCTGCAGGGTTAATCCTAAATGGACCTGGCACCCAGACTACTTCATTGAGCTGAAGTGGTCTGGGTATCTATAGTGGTCCTTTAAGTGTGTATGTGAATCAAGGCAATGTGTTTATATGAGCAATGCAGGCATCCAAATTTTGGGTCTTGAAGTACTAACCATGTGCTAAAAGTTATGAGCCACCTTAAAGGGACACTATAGTCACCAGAACAACTTCAGATTAATGTAGTTGTTCTGGTATGTATAGCCAGTCCTTACAGGCATTTTAATGTAAATCCTGCCTTTTCAGAAAAAGGCTGCGTTTACATTGCTGCATAGGGACGCCTCCAGTGGCAGTCACTCAGATGGCCACTGAAGGTGCTTCCTGGGTCAGTGATCGACAATGTGCAGCACTGATGTTCAGTGCCTCATTGCTCTGCATGGAGATGCATTGATTCAATACATCTCTATGAGGAGATGCTCATTGGCGCAACACAGTGTTTTGCCATGTGTGCCAATAAGCTTCCCAATGCTTCCTATGGGAGAGCATTGAAATGGCTGAGATTATCAATTCTGATTATCTCAGTCAAGGGGCCAGAGCATGGGCTGAGCCAGCGCCGGCAGACCCGTGTGGCCCTGAAATAAAGGTAAGTTTATTACCTTTTAAGAAGGGGCAAGGGAAAGCCGGTAACCTAAATGGTGTTTTTTAAACTATATGGTCAGGAATACACATTTATTTTTTTGTTTGTTTTGTAATTCATTCTACTATGTCCATGACATCAGGGTGTGTATGCAGTGATGTATTTATATTGAGGGTCTGCATGCAAGGCCATATTTGGATGTAGTTTGTGTGTGAACTCATGTTTGCATGTGTGGAACATCCGTGTGGGTGAACACAGGGGCATGTAGTTGTTATAAGTGCTGTAGTGGGGAAGGGGTAATAGATGCAATAGTAGGCGGCAGGGTAATATAAGCTATTGAGGGTGCAGGGGAGGAATAGAGGCTGAAGAGGGTAACAGGGGTTGTAGAATATGTAGGGGGGTAATAGGGTTGTAGTGGGTAATAGGGGTTGCAGTAGGTAATAGGGGTTGTATAATGTGTAAGGGGTTGTAGGGGTTGTAGTGTGTGATGGGGTGATAGGGGTTGTCTTGTATGTAGGGGGTAATAGGGGTTGTAGTATGTGTAGGGAGTTATAGGGGTTGTAGTGTGTAAGGATTCAAGTATGTAAAGGAGTGATAGGGGTTGTAGTGTGTGTGGGTTGAAGTATGTTAGGGAGTGATAGGGGTTGGAGTGTGTAGGGGTTGTAGTATGTGTAGGGGTGATAGGAGTTGTAGAGAGTGCTGGGGTTAATAGGGGTTGTGTGTGTGTAGGGGATGATAGGGGTTGTAGTGTGTGTAGGGGTTGTAGTGTGTGTGTAGGGAGTGATAGGAGTTGTAGAGTGTGCTGGGGTTAATAGGGGTTGTGTGTGTGTAGGGGATGATAGGGGTTGTAGTGTGTGTAGGGGTTGTAGTGTGTGTAGGGAGTGATAGGGGTTGTAGTATGTGTAGGGAGTGATAGGAGTTGTAGAGTGTGCTGGGGTTAATAGGGGTTGTGTGTGTGTAGGGGATGATAGGGGTTGTGGTGTGTGTAGGGAGTGATAGGGGTTGTGGTGTATGTAGGGAGTGATAGGGGTTGTAGTGTGTGTAGGGGATGATAGGGGTTGTAGTATGTGTAGGGGATGATAGGGGTTGTAGTATGTATAGGGAGTGATAGGGGTTGTAGTGTGTGTTGGGGATGATAGGGGTTGTAGTGTGTGTTGGGGCTTGGTGAATAAAGGGGAATGGATGGATAGGTTAAAAAAAAAGTTAAAATAATGTATCCCCCCTCCCTAAACCTTACCTTTGTCCAGGAAGGGGGTAATCCTTACCCACAGTGGTGCAGAGAGTCCAACCTCCATCTTGCCATGTGAGTGTCTAGGAGAGCTCCCTCCCTGGCCGGACATGGAATTGCGGGCAGGCTGCCAGAAACACTGATAAAGCCCTCTGCAGGGGCTGCTCTGATCAGTTACAGGCAGCCTGCATGGAGGGCTCTGCTCCTGGAGCCTCAGCCCAGGCACAGTGAGAGGCAGCCTGGAGGGTCTTTGATAAGGCCCCTGGGCTGTCTCTCAGTGTGCTACAAAGGTCTGCTGACTGTGAGTATAGCTGACCATGGGGGGGGGGGGCCCTTACTGAATGCAGGCTGGGGAGCCTGCTGAACTCCCCAGCTGCTATTACATTCTGCACCACGGACGGGCCCCCCAGAGCCTTGGGCCCTCGGTCCATGACCGATATGCCCGAGTGCTCAGTCCGCCCCTGGACACTCTTATTTCTCTACTAGGCTCTGCCTCTTTCTGACAGGCAGATATTGATTTGTTACCTGTAGATACAGGTAAGTAGTTCACTAGACAAGTGCATACAGACTCCCAGGCGCAACCAAGTCGCCAAACGTTACACCACGGGATGTAATTCCCCACTGTACATCCTCCCAAGATAAAGGGCAGCTCTTGGCTGCACTGAGAGGCAAAACACCATTCCCATTCGAGAACACACACTTATCTTTTTACCAAGACCTGACCAGGGATAACCTGC